CTCCCGCTTTAATCATATATATGTACACGTATTCAAAATAGGGGTAATAATCATCTCGAAATTTGTTCATGTGTTGTTCTTGTAGGAATTGGGAGAAGCCACGGTGCTTGCTATTGATAATATGACGCGGGACAGATATCGGCAGTCACAGTATCAGCAAACGTTCGCAAAATACAACGAAGTCCTGAGGCAACTTAGCCAACGATCAGGAAGTGACGTCACAGCAGCGTCTACAACAGTGGATGAAGAAGATAAACAAGTTGTCAGTGAAGCAATAGAAAATGAAAATGGAAATGAAAAGAAAGAAAAAATAGTAGGAGCAACCGAGGGGGCTATGAGTATTGACAGCGTGCCGACTAAGTCTATTCTCACATGTCCTGTACATGGTAAAGAACGACATAAGAAACGGGTCAATTTTAACGATATCCACCAGGTACTGACAAAGGACGGCAAAATACAATTATCGGGTGTTGGTCCGTGCTGGCCACCAGCTACAAGCTACACGATCGACAAGAACTCACAATTAGTTGAACGCAGTACTGTTACGTCATATCCGCCAGCGTATCGCAGTTCACTGAATCCCGAATTGTGCACATGCAAATTGCTATCTGCACAGACAAAGCCATCCAGTAAGGATAGTGAGCAGGAACTTGTGAAACCAGTTCTAAGCAAGAATAAAATTGTTCCGACGAGTGAAATAGAGTCGACAAAGTCATTGATTGGACAGCAACAAGTTGTTCCCGTAGCAACCAAAGTGACCGCTGAAGTTCTGCCACCTGTTGGATTGTCTAAACCGTTGGCTGCGCCCTTTATGATAATTCCTGATGACAGCATTGTAAGAACGAGTTTACTTGGCGGAATTAAAAACCCGCTCCCCCTACCACCGACGCCATTATCGGCGTGTTTACAGCCTACTGGAAGTCGATACCTGACCGAATCGGACTTAGATTCAAAACTGAAGCTCACAGAAGGTAATGAGAAACAACTAAATTAAAACAATACACACACGAACAAACGAACAGACACACAGTCAGACAAACAAACAAACCCACAGACGAAAGCAGAACGAGCAGCATACATGATCATTACAGTCAAGCCTGTGTTGATTACCACCTTCATATACGAGCAACTTGCTCATAATGATTGGTTATAGTGTTTCACTACTATATGCCACAAAGCCAATCAGATTCTCGTATTTCCTGCTGCACATGCGCTGACCGGGTGGCCCCTTTCATGACCGTGTTTTCATCCGCGGTAACATCACGGCCATTGTTCTTATTGGTCAACGGAGTTTTTTTTTAAATTTATAATAGTTTAAATGTTTATAAACCGTAAATATTGGAAACGACATTGTATGGCGCTTCTAGCGACGCAGCCTTTTCAAATTTACGTTGACGTTTTTTAGCGATAGCGTCGCTCAATAAACACCGAGGCAGTGAAGTCGTTGTCAGTTGGAGACTGCTTTCAATTAAAAACTTTCGAATTTATAATTTTTATAAGTATATTTACACATGTTTTTTTACTACAGAGTACATACCATTCATTACTAGACATGCTTTTTATCGACGAAGCGTATGTGACGTCAGAGTGACGTAGAGTATGAGTAAGGCAATGTCGTTCAAAGTGAAAACTGTTTTCTGTAGTCGTTCGTAGTCGTTTGACAATAATAAAATTTTACCAAACAGCGTATTTCTTACTGACAGCCTTCATTTACAATAAACGTCTTCGCTAGAGGGCGCGTCAATTAGAAAATGTGTAGTTTGCCCGTAGTACACATGCAATAATTTCTTAGATCTTACATGTCAGTTCTATAAGTTTAGTTTCAACGCCAACTCTATAATAATAGACAATTCTGACCGAACAATTTTCAGTTTTACCTGATTCCAGATAACGTTCACTGTAACTTTTTTTTTCGACAGATTTCATTTAGTTCACCCGGAAACAGTTCCTGATTTACGGTTCTTGAAGAATACATCTAAGAAGTACTTCTTCTTCAACTACCACGCTTCTGTGTTTAGGGGATAAAACATGAACGACTTCATCAAGAGTTAGTTGTCACTGCCATGTGAACTTTGAATAAATTATATCTAAAAGTAATTATGTTTGTATTTGCATGTTTTCCGGTGCACGTGAAGTACCGTTCGATTATGCCAACAGCTTGTAGGGCCCAGGGTACTAAAACTAGGATGCTCATAAAAACTTTAAAAAAACACAAAAATTACCTCAATAATTACGTTTTGTTGTATGCACCTGCCACTATAAATTTGCATATCTCGACCTTTACCCCTTAAAAACACCCAATCATGTAATAAATGATGTAATACTAAATAATCAATAAATTACAAGCCCATTTTTTTCAACTGGCGGGTGATTCCAACACAACAGAATCCTGTAGGCGTTTGATGTTGTTGCAGACGTGTTGAGTTTCTTGTGTTGGTAGATAAAACACTTTGAAACAGGAGGCCACTGATTGGGTGAAACATACGACCAGATGCAACCTGATTAAACTGCAACTCAATATGGAGGCCACTGATTGGTGGATTGGAACAAATCCCAGTGTGCAGATTTTTGTGTATAGTTAGTTATTGAGACGTTACAGGTGGCTGATTTTATATTTGACATTAGCGTTTCATGTTTGAAAGTCTATGCCAGTGCGTCTGCTGTCGGCTGCCAAAGCATTGAGGGACTACCGTACATCCACATCGGGAAGTCTCCGTGATGAAAACGTGACCATGCTATCTGCGTCACCGCCAGTCTAAAGCAGCGAATCACGACAGTGACTTGTTGAAAAGACTGGAAAACACCCGATAATATGACATTTCATTTTCATGGGTTTATTATAACGATTTATATTATTCTGAAAATTTATTTTGGACAATAATTATTATACCACAACATCAGCCGGTGTAACTATCATTTTGATTGTTAAAATGTTTGATTGATTTCACGTGTACGTTAAGTACCTTTCTGTATAATGAATATTTATATAATTTATTTGAGCTTGTCCCTTGGATCTGTGTATGATCCACGTAACAATCTCAACACTTATTTATACTTTGTGAGCCATCCATGAATGTATTGAAGTTTGGTCATATACTTATAACATGTGATAACCTGAATCCACGCGAGAGCCTAGTGCGAATGTTGTTTTCATCATAACATGTATAACTGCGACTAAAGTTCATCTTTCTTTTGCATTTGTGGAAGATCATACTTTTTTGTAGGAACCGTTTTGCCAGCAACTGTTACTCTGTGTAGAACACGCAGACCAACCTTGGAACGCGGAAATTGACTAGAAGG